CCGGCCTCGTTCACCAGGTTTCCTTCTAAAGCAACCTTTATCTACAACTTTACTGGAAAAGTTCAGAGTCTCAGAGCCAAGGGAAAGAAACTTTGCAAAGCCCTTTCTACAACAAGCAGGAGGAGGCCAGCATGGATGTGCTTCAAAATGACAACCTTTGGCCTCTTAAAGCTAAACTGAAATGTAACAGGCCTCACCTTCAAACTGAGAATGAGATTTACTGTGGGGCTTCCCGGCTGTGGATGTGGCCTGTTTTGTTTATTTATTTATTTTTCTAGACCATATACAGTGTTCATGAGTCAAGCCTCGTTCTAGTTTTTACGGGTAGGGATTGGGGTCTTGTATTCTTTTTTTTCCCCAGGCGCTGGGCTGGGCACAAAGCTAATAGGTCTTTAATGTAAGTCTTTTTTTCACGCAAATAGAAATCTGGATTAAAGTACTGCTCTGTTCTTTGGGGTATTTTTTTCTTTTTCTTTTTTGCACCTCCCGGATGCCGGAAAACGGGGAAATTTTTCAACACCTGAAAAAGACAACTAGCGGTGGAAGGAACTTTTTCTAAACTCATTCAGGAGGAAATGCTCTCCATCCTCCTGATTTATTTATTCATTTGTTTATTTAAGTAAGCTCTACGCCCAACACGGGGCTTGAACTCACAACCCGGACATCAAAAGTCGCGTGCTCTACAGACCGAGCCAGCCAGGCGCCCCTCTAACCTGTGCTTTAATCTGCCCACAGAACTAGGTGGCTTCCGGGGGCCCAGCTTCCAACTCTGCCCCGGGGAACCCTACCAGCCCTGGAGGGAACAAGGCGGTTCGCACCTGCCTCTCGGAGAGCCCCAGCGTGGCGGCCAGCTCGGCTTTCCTCCGGATGGTGATGTAACGACTGTAGTGAAACTCCTTCTCCAGCTCCAGCCTCTGGTGGTCCGTATACACCACTCGGTATTTGTCTTTCGTCCTGGTTTTCACTGTGGAGGAAGGAGAAGTTAGGCCGGGGAACCGCAAGGCGGCCCATCAGTCATGGGTAATGACAAACCTCCCTAACCCAAGGGCTATTTCTCTTCCTTCTTCGCCCCGGGGGGCCAGGGTTTGGCTGATTCCTGCCGGGTCTGACAAGACCCCCCAGAGGGTCCTGAGGGGAGGGTGCGAGGCTATCTGAGACAACTAAACTCACCTTGGGGTTAAGTGGTTTTTAAAAACGAAGAAAAACTCCAACCTCCTACACGCAAGATAGCAGAACCCAGCCCCCCGTTTGGTAAACCAAACAGAGCCCTGGAGCAGGCTGGGCCCAAAGGGAAAGGGGGCAGGACAGAGTCTCCAGAGTCCTGGGAATGTTCACATTTTCTGGCCTATTGAAGACGGAAGCCCACCCTAAAAGCAGCTGGGGCCGTGGGGATGCGTTGGTGTCGCTGCGTGGGGGTGGTGGTGTTACTTTCTGTCTGTTGCTTTCTACTTTTATTAACAGTAGAAAGGTGGGTGGGGGTGGGTGCAGGATGTGACAGACCAGAATCATCTCCTAGGCACACGAGGCCCATCTGGTGGAATTCCGAGCTGGGGTCTGGCAGGCAGAAGACCCCTCCCGCTGGCGACATTCTATACCTGGCTGAACACGGTTTCGCATTTGGCACTTTTTCTTTTTTGAGCCCCCCCCACCCCCATTTATTTCTGCTACAAACTCTGCCAGAGCTATCCTGACCAGTGATCTGTGCTCATTGGATTGAGTCAACATATTAAACCTCAGATTGATTGTTTTACTGAAGGGCCTTGACAAATAGTGCCGTCGCGGTTGGAGCAGGCCCGAGAACCTGGCGTCTCCCCCGGGTCTGTCCTGGGTCATCCCTTGGCAGGGGCTCCTCGTTGGCCCCAGGTCCTGGTCATCCTGCAGCCGAACAGGTTCAGTCGCCCGGTGCCCAATCCTACGGGAAGATCTAAAGGGTCTGGGAGTTTCTTGGAGGTGTTTAATGCCCCGCAGGCCGACTTTGTTCAGGTAAAACCCTTTGCAAACCACAACAAAAGCGCCCTGGGAAGATACAGGGCCGGATCAGAGGGAGCTCCCCCGAGCCGCTGAAAGGGGAACACAGTCCCAAACAATGCAGGACAAGGCGATCTTATCAAAGAAAAGCCCTTTCAATGCCTTAATAACAACCGCATTCTGTTTGAATTACCACTACTGAGCAAACGGCGGCCCCAGCTTTCATCCCCCTCCCCGCCAGGCGCATTAACATAAACACGGCCCGGCAGGCGCATTTGAATGGGCGCAGCGGCCCCGACCCTGCGTCTGCGAAGCCAGTGAAGGGAACTAACACGTCCTGGGAGCCTTGCAAGGGGCGGGCGCGTTCACACGCGCTACCGCCTCTAACCCACTCGAGGCTACCGGCGGGAGTCGCCCGTTTTACAGATGAGGAAACGGAGACTCGGGCTGGCTCACGCACACAGTGCAAGGCGCGGCTGCCACTGCACCAGGTTGGAGCCACAAAGGGGCACCCCCGGGGCTGGGCAGGGGGGCGCAAGAAAGTTCTCCGAGCCGAACATCCCGGGAGCAACACTCGCCTGGGGGAGCGGCTCCTGCGCCAGGGCCGCCCTTTCCGTCTGCCGGACGGGCCGGGGACGCGGTGACCAGGACCCCTGCGCGCTCTGCGGCCCGCGTCCCCAAGGGCCTTGGAGGCGCCCCGCACCCCCTGGGAACCAAGGAGGGGGCTGGAGGAGGGGAGAGATGAGAGGGACTTGTGAGAATTCATTATTGACTGCGAAAGTCACCACCCTCTTTCCGGGCCCTAAAAGAGACAATGGCAGGGCTGGGAAGGTGTATATCAAAGCGGGCCGGGCCGAGGACCAACCCCCCTAGCCCGTTGACAGATGACGCTCCGCAGAGGAGCCGGGCTCTGGCCCGCGGGCCGCGGCCTCCCGACATTAACATCACAAGGGCGCCCGGCGCCGACTGCGGCCTTGCCACCTCGGCGCGGGACTTCACAGCGGCCTCTCATCTGCTGACCCCGCGGCCTGGGCTCCTGTGGCTTCCCTCCCTCTCCCTCTCCCCCCTCCCCGGCCCTGGCCCCGCGGCCACTGTCCCGGGACACACCAGAGGTCTCCCGTAGGACCCCCGGTCGCTGCCAGGTGCGCCCCAGGCAGGCTCCGTAAAAGACAGCCTTCTCTGAGACAGCGCTCGGTTCGGGCGACGGCGTCTCCCTTTGGGGAAGGCACCAAGGCGAGGCTCCGAGGCTGGCCTTGTGGCCTTCTCCCTGGGCGGCCGCATTTCCCACCCGGCATGTGCCCGGTGACTCAAGTACTGATGCCCGGAGACAGCCCCCAACGGCTGCTCTGATTTATACGGCTGTAATTGGCTATAAACCTCTGCAAAGTGGCCATAACCTGCGTGCAGGCCGGGCTGGGCCAGAAAACAAGGGAAGAGAAGAAAAGCGGAAGTGCAGAAGGCTAGGAAAACTTCGTGGAGCGAAATGCCAACAGGACTCTCCCACCACACCTATTCCAACTTCCTTCCCACTTTGACACATATCCCGATAGCAGAAGGGGCAGACCGGGACCTGATGGGCCCTCGCGGTCCGGCAAACCTAGGATGTCTGCAGGGACATCTCCTGAGCCAGCTTCTTGAACATGGGCGCGCGTGCACACACGTACACACACACACACACACACACACAGCCCCGAGACCCTGGAAAGGAAAGGTGGGGAGAAATGATCCCTGTCTGGAGCAGAAGCTGAATCCCCACCAAGGATTCTTCCCCTTCTCCCTCTGCAGACACAAGAGGACACCCACGACTTCTTGCCCCTAGCCCTCCAGCTTCGGCCTGCACCAACTCCTTTGCAAATCAAAGGAGTTCAATGACGGGGCGCGCTCCCTTCCGCCTAATTCCTGGGGCCTGCCTTTCCTGCAACAGCAGCTTTGCCGGCTCTCCCTATTCGCCCTAGCTCTTGAGATTCCTTGACCCCGGTCCCACGCGCGGCCTCGCCGCCCTCCTGGCTCCCCAGGGCACCCCTCTTCTTGAGCGGCTCAGCGGCGTGGAGAGCAAGGCTCTGAAGCCCGGCTCGGTGGAGTTCGAGGCTCCCTTCCCCCGGCGGCTCCAAGCTGCGCACCGAGTGCCAGAGGCACCAAGTGCGGGGGACGCGCGTTCCCACTCCTACGCAGCCGTGCTACGCCCACATTCCTGGGGGTGTCCTGGGAGTGTTGGGACGTTGGAAGGAGGAAGGCTCTCCTCTGCCCTAAACTAAACACGGGTTGGGAGACCCACTTACTCCCTCCCGGCCCCCACCCCCAGCCCGCCAGCCCAGGCGCGGTAGAGAAGCCCGGCAGTCGGGGAGGGGGGCCCCCTGACTTTGTCTCCCTCTCCGGCCCTCCT